CCGCGGCGCCGGGCTGAAGCCGGGCGGCAGCGCCGACAGACGCCGGCGGCCCGGCTCGGCCTCCCGCAGGCCGCCGACGGACGGCGCCAGCTGTACCGAGCGGCGGCCGCTGCGCGCCGAGCGCGACGAATCCGGCTCGGACGCTGCCAGCCGCAGCGGCAGCATCGACCGGCGGCCACTCTTCAGCGAGCGGAACGCCCGCAGCTCCTCCTCGATGAACTCAGAGCACTGCGCGGACAGGCGCACACTCATGAGGGCGAGGGACATTTCCAAGTCCCTTTCTGTCGGCTCAGGAAAAGCTCGCAGGGAAGGGCGTCCATTTGGCGGGGAATGGGACGTGTCCGAGATCTGCGACGCCTCCTCTTCTGTTCGCTCAGGTACGGGCAGCATGGAACGGCGACTATCTCTCAACGAACGGAGCGTGTCCGACACAAGTGTCTTCTCCTCTTCCGCCAACGCAGACAAGAGCCGCATAGACCGGCGTCGGCTGCGCAAGTAGCGGCCTCCGCCGGCGGCCCGCTCCTCCAGCGGCGCAGGGTGCAGCTGCACGGAGCGGCGCGCACCGGAGCGGTGTCCCGCCGCGTCAGCGACCTCCTCCGGCGGCCGCGGCTGCACCGAGAGGCGTCCGCCGCCGGGCCGCGCCTCCCGGCCGGCCTCGGGCGCCAGCTGGAACAGTGAGCGGCGCCAGCCCTTGCCAGTGCGCAGCGCCAGCAGCACGCCCTGCAGGCCGCCGCCCGGCTCCGGCGCCGGTGGGGCCGATTCTGGGGACGGGATGGGGGGGGGGGGGGGGGTCAGCGCCCTCCGGCTGCAGCGGGGCGGGGTGACACGCCGACACGAGACCACCACGGCAGGCGGAACAGGCGAGGCGGCAGACAACAGCGCAGGCGCACACTCACACCGGGCGCGGAGTGCACGGACAGAGGATGTTTGCGACCACCAGATTAAAGCACACACCTAGCGCCACGAGACTACATTTGTAGCTAATGTTCCTACTGCTAGTCAGAATCCCGATTTGATCGAATCATCGCACTGGCCGGTCATTGGTGATGGATCCACGACGGCGCGTGACGGTGCACCGGGCACGCGGCCGTACGTGGCCTGTCCCGGTCCCGATCCCGGACACAAGGTGCCCCATAGAGCGAACCGTCGGACACCAGACCGCTCGTGCCGCAAGGCTGCAAATGGTTAGTCAACCGGCCCCGCGGCCAGCGCGTCCGAGCGCCCGGCCGACACAAAATACGGCATGTCGCACAACTTCATTAAGTCCCGAAACGTTACATATACTGAGCTGAAGGTGTTCTTTCGTGCCCTCTGGCCAAGTCCGTTTTGTCACGTAGCTAACAATGGTGATGGCATGCTTTACTAAGTACAACAAAGGTTGATGCGTCTACGAGGTACATGTTTACAGTGCAGTTTCCTGAGATGTGAACAGCGCAGACGCTGCACTTGAACAGAATACACCGGCGGAAAACAGTCAAAGTAACAAATTTATGTGAGAGAACGAAGCCAACAGCTACTTCATTACAGTATTTACCTGCGGAGGGCACGGTTTCTTGCATGCTCAGTGACCGACCTTCCCTGTCTTCCTGATTATCTGTATCTCGAGCGTCGGCTTCATCATCACCAACAGGAGCCTTGTTCACTTCTGTTTTACTCTCCTCAAGCTCAAGTCGGCACAGCCTGACGAAGCACTCCCGGATGCCCTCGATGGGCGTGGCTCCGCCGACGGGGCTGGAGGCTGGAGAGTTTGTCATCGAGTTGAGGACCAGCGCGGGCGGAGCCACCACGGCCGGCGGCGGGCTCCCACGCTCCCAGGCCGCCAGGGCCCAGGCGTCGCTCGGCGCCGCGCCGGTCGCCGGCTCCGGCCACGCCGTCCAGCCGCTCCGCGGAGACGCGGGGTCGGCGCTGATGCCGTGCGGAATGCGGCCGGGGGCTGGCGCCGGGGCTGGCGCCAAGGCTGGCGCCGGGCCTGGCGCCGGGGCTGGCGCCAGGGTTGGCAACGGGGCTGGCGCCGGGGCTGGCGCCTGCAGAGCCCAGCGACACCGGAGAGAGATTCGGCGCCGCCAGCCCGGGACTGGCGACAGCCGTATGGCTAACCGCGTCCGGCGATACCGGGGAGAGCGCCGGCGCCACCAGCCGCGTCCGGCCCAGCATCGGCGTGCTAGTGCTGGGCCCAGCCAGCGGCGCCAGCGCCGCCCGTGCGGGAGCTGGCCCCGGCGCGACCTGCGTGGGACCGGCCCGCCGCCCGGGGGCCGGCGGCGGGCCGCGCACCGACCGCGTGCGTCCGGTTCGCCTTACTGCCCCTGCCTGCGGACGACAGCCGCGATCAGTGGCCATGGAGGTGCACGATCACGCTCACACGCACGAAAGCATACCATAGGGCATTAAATATACATGTAAACAAGCTGCGCACGCTCGCGCGCACACACACGTAGACACGATCTGGCAACTTAATGGATGCATACGCAATAGTTATGTTTATGTGGTATAGTTCGCCACATTTTGTTGAGAGGGCACACCGTTGCCCACGGTCTTTATCGTAACAGTTGCCGTGATTCTTCATTACTTGCAAAGCAGACGGACGACTGGGAGCATCCTCTGAAAGATGCACAACGCCGTGTAGCCAGCTCTTCGACTTCATGCTGGACTTCCGGTTTGTTCCTATGACTGGGGGTACGGCCGACGCGACTCACGAGGCGGCGGCTTCCCTCGGGGAGGCGGTGGCGCCACCGACGGCGACTCGAACAGGCGGATGCTGGCGGCGTGCTCCGAGTCGGCCGACGAACTGTCGTTGACCGGACTGCGCCGCGTCACCACCTTCTGGTACCTGTAGCCATTGCAACCGCAGATCAGCGCAGCCCCCTCCCGGAGATTAGGGTGGGAGATGGGAAGGGGGGGGGGGGTGATCAGACACACACGCCAGCCAACAAGACACGCAAAAGGCTGGCGGCATGTCCTGTGGCTATCCAGCTACCCGCCTTTGGTAGCGCGCCGACACCAAACAGAATTACCGACTGTTGGATCAACCGATAGGCATATTGACATTAAAAACAACGCAACGTGACAACGAAAGAATGATGTACTAATGAGTACTTGAAGGAAGTGCTCTAACTGCGGCATGCTTAAAAAAGCATACTTCTAGTGAAACCTCACGACCATCTCCGTTTAATAATAGTACTGGGTAGTGCCACTGCGGCACAGGCAAGACAAAATAAGAACATCAATTTGAACCATTCCCCAATCTAAATTATGCTGCCAACGCTTTGCAACACCTTTACGCTTCTTCCTTGCAGTCGCGACCACCGTCATCATGACGACCGTGTTCACCTCTATTGGCGCGAATAAAAAGGTGTTTGTGATTGACCTGGCGAGCAGTGACCTGTTACCCAGAAGCGCACAGGTTGAATTTTGAGCCAGTGCATCACATGGATCATATGATGCTCCCATTCCCAGGGCCAAGTGCGCATCGAAAAGATGCGCTGTGGTAAACGCAATAGGAGAGGAACCAAACCCATAATTTAATGTTTCGTTGAACTCGCGGGATAACGGCTTCATGCCTCGTTTCTCTTTTTGCCTGAATAGTGTTTTAAGCTTTCGTAGTATTTGTTACACAAGCATGTTGACACATAAGTGTGTCACAAAGATAACCGAGCACACGTCGGAAAAAAGCGCGACAAAAAGAAATGCATTACTTTCATGGCAGTGCGCAGAGTCTACCCACATTTATGTCACATGATCAGCTGCTTCAAATCAAAATTTTGAGCCATTCAGAAGGGGTTTTTTAAAACTGGTATTACTTATCGAATTGTACATGTCTGATGGAAAAACGAGCCTTTTGTCTTTTGTCAAACAATGTCTTTCACAGCTAACAGTATACCAATAGTTATCACTGCACTTCTTTCATCATGTCTGATGCTTGTTCAATATTTTCAAATGTAGAGCACTCCCTTGTCAAGTACCAATAACTATCCCAGCCTTAAGGCAACTGATTTCTCATAGATCCCTGCCCATGTGGTAAAACAGAGGTCCAATTCACCACCCACAGTCCTTTGTTTGTGTAGGGACCACCAGCATTTCTGTCTGGCAATGGTGTGCAAACAGTACATCCAAGATGATTCCAATCAGCACTTTACAAAGCTGATAAGCTGGGGGGCACCTCCATCACTTGCTCACACTGCTCCCTTGAGGAGGCGATCAAAGGTGGTCTCAGGGTCGGACCAGCTGAGGGAGGCCACAGATGGGCCCAGCAGCGACGACCGGTCACTCTCGGAGCTCTGCTCCGTGTGCGGCATGGCGGATGGGCGCTGTGCACCATTGGCCCACATGCTGCACTGCAAACAGGTGCCAGCAGCTGTCAACAGCCCGGCCCCAGTCAACCTGGGGTAAATGCTGGTCAATGGGCTCTCAAACTTGGTCAGCCTAAGGATGCACACTGGCATGAAGAGATGGATGGCTTGTAGTGGATAACTGCATACATTGTGGACTTACACAACAAGGTGGCATGGCCACAATTTACAGTATCTTTAAATGATCAAGCAATTAATTTAATGCATACATAAGGCTGATTCATGTTTCTTTGTAAAACACAACATCCCAAATGGTAATGCCCATTTGTCCTCTAATTAAGCAAGAGTTGTGAAACAAAGATGCACATGCTGTCATGATGAGAGCCAATGATATCAGGCTTTAGGGTGTTAAAACATTCAAACAAGGCTTAAACAGCCAATCATGACTTTGCCTGAGCATAATATTTTTCTGTCCAGACCTATCCTCCTTGCTACTTATTTTCACCCTCCATCCACACATGTCATCTAATACATGAAAAGCCTCCGATTTGCTGATAAGCACACTTAGCTATAAGCTGGTTTATGTAGTCTTAATTTTCATAAGCTACTTCTTATCATTATGAAATTGTCAGGACTCCATGAGCACTTATTTTCTTAGGCTACTT